AGAAACGACCCGTCCATCCATATATAATATGTGTACGTATAATAAACATGCCACCATTGTCCACGGGTTGTTTTTCCCTCTCGCGCCACCGCTCCTCCGATTAAACACAACGACCATTATTATTCATCCTGGATACTCGTTTTTTCCCCTTTTTTTTACAAGCACGCATCATACATCTTTTTATCCACGTCTACTAAATAATACGTGTACATGTGTGCGCCGCCATCATAACGTTAAACCGGATCGACCCGAAGACTTGCGTGCGGTCTCACTGCGCGATGTCACGGAACGGGTTATTATACTTATGATAATACTATACGCGTCTCCTAATACCCACCTCCCCTCACTCAAACACCTTCGGTTAAAAAAAAAACCGGGCGTGTGAATAACGATTTCCACCATAATCAGGTGGGAAATGTGAAAACCCTGAGGAAATTAGCGCTTCGTAACGGAATTGGTGACAGAGAAACCGCCAAAATATTAGCGATTCATTGTAATTAACAAATTATTATAAGAGCTTCTCTTATTTTACTTCATAAAAGGTAACAAGAATTGAATGATTAACATAAGGCAAACATTGAGTTGAAATTAAAATAAAGTGTTGCTATTATATAGGTACATAATATTATGTCATATAATATATAATTCGCATTTCGCATTTTAAAACATATTTAGAAACAAATTCATATAAGCATTAACAATATTAGCACCGACAAAAATTTCATGATATATTGTTTATATATTCGTATAGAATACGAATATATCGTTAATATATCTGATATATTGTTTATATATTTCCATTTTAGATCAAATCGAATATAATATTACTCTCGAAATATCGAATCGATCTAACCGATAGGTATATTTAATAATATGAGTAAACATTATCATACTATCAAATATCACGTAGGTATTTTAAAAATACGGGGAAAATTTTTGACTAATCGTCGTCCTAAATTTAAACATCCTGCGGAACTCCACAAACGATGCCGCCTATGCGTTCAAAATAAGATTTTTCGAATATCGCTTGACCGAAATATAAGAATTTACTAATCGTTAAACTAATCACTGATATTTTATCAACTACAGATAGTACAGCAACGACAGTCACGTTATTATGTCTATTTCCTAATTATCGGAACTAGTCGTTAGAGTGTTAGACGTTTATATTCACGAAAACCTACTATATTTATAAGCATACGATAATGAAGTGCAGTATTGGTGAAAGAATCACCCATATACACGATCAATGATCATTGACCATAATATTATCAAAGACCAAAAGTGCAGCGACGAAAACCTATATACCCTGTCGATCATATACCACCGTTTTTACGAGGCGAACCCAACGATAAACTGCAGGCAGCAGCACACCACATAACATAATTAAACTCCACAGGATTATTATGGCCGATTTAGGAATATTAAAATGGTGCTTGGTGTCGGGACCACGATGGTGCGGTACACGGTGATTAAATTTAGTCTATTAGAGAAGCTCTCACACACTCATTTTCTTTCTCTCTCTCTCTCTCTCTACATATATATATATTACACTATTATAGTCGACATTCCTTGTTATTAGATATTATTATGTGGAGGACATAATAATAAATAATAATTACAAATGTCTCGGAGCTACTTAAAAAGCGACCGTTACACTTTACACCACCATAGCCCAGTAATAGGGCTGTGCTGATAAATTACTCAGCGCCCCGCTATTCTCAACCTCCCCGTCATGTCGGACTCCACTTTTTCGATTGGCCTACTCCGTAGCCGAGACTGCTGTTGAGTGTTTTTAACACATCTATTATTATAATTATAATCGTCTGACAAATACATAAATATTATATATTTTTATCTTATTATTATTATTATTATTATTATTATACGCACAACGCCTTTGTTCAGAGTAATTACCAACACGCTTTCGAGATGACGACTCAAACATAGCGTAATAAAACAATTTGCAATGCCAGAAATAGCGCCACCGTTATTTAAGTTATGTACGTATGCCACCACGTTCACACGAGTCTACAATATCCCCCTATATAATCCCATCATCACAAGCACGTTTTAATATTTTCTGTTCAGTTTGCAATAATTGCAAGACTAATAAAGTAGGTATGTTTTTTTTTTTAGTTTTTAAATATTAACAGTACAATACTATAAATAGGAAAATAATCTTAAGAATAAGAAAAAAGTATCCTAGAAGTACCAATATTGATTAAAGTAAAGGTAACCAATACATCAGTTAGTATAAAAAAATATTTAAAGTATAAAATCATGCATAATATTATTTTATTTTATCTGAGATCGAAAAGTGAAATCTTCGACAGTGGAGCAACTATTTTTTTTTCATAGGCATTATACGACGCAAATGAATTACGAGCAATGAGCAAGATAGTTGTATTTTAGTCTTTTCATTATAAATTATGGGCTTACGACTATACCGCAACACGTCGTTAATGTTTTAAAAATAATTTTGACAGAATAATTAAAATACAATGCGACTACCATATAAATGAAAATAAATTCAATTTTACCAGTTTAATATAATTAATACGCATTACCCCGACAGAAACTGTCGTCGAAGCGCATATAAAATAAAATAAAATATACAATATTATACACCGCGAAGACCTTGAGACGTGTAATATTGGCGTGCGTGAAGTAAATTAATTTACAAACATTATCGATGACAATAATATTGTCTTCTTAAATTACGACTCGTGCATGATATCGATATTGCCGGCTACCATCACGGGATAACGAACGGTTGCCACCGACACTATTGTTTTCAATATTTCAACGCACAACTGCCAGACAATAAGAAAAATCATGATCGTCCGTCGACAAGACATTGTTGTTCATCCGTGGACTACTACAAACACCGGTCGCGAGAGAGGAAATGACCGGACGATTAAAATAATAGTTAGAATCTTTACTACGTACACGACAACCAGCGGACATGTTTTCAGATTAAATTATTATAATATACAGCTTGATATTACGGATATGGACTATGCTATAGGGTTAGCATAAATATTAGAATATTTTTTTCCGTTTAAAAATCACTGTCCCATTTTAAGTGAAACCATATTAATATACCTATGTAAAATTAATAGGTAACAGGTGCGGTAGTAACGTTGGTGTAAAGCTTTCAAATAAAAATAATTATATTATTATATAATTATCCGGGATTAAAACAACCTGCGTTAACTTCCGAGAATGGACGGCGGCGACGGCGTCGTTTTTTCCTAAGTCCGTCAGAAATGGGGAGAAAAGTCCTATCCGAACGCCAGGATGACGATGATAATAATATTATAAACGTCGTAAATAGGCACATAATGGGCGACACAAAATATTATAGGTGCTATATACTTATTTAATAAGAGGCGTACAGAAGAGCGCAGCGTCGGCGGCGATGCGTGTAAAATAATATATGACATTTCCGAACGGAAAACGTTTACAGTTCGCATATCGCACGCGGCCATTATCATAATAATAATGGTATGTTATATACGATAATGGGCTAGGCGGCGGTGTAAATTAATACATTTATTGTTATTTTATTCGTTCGGACTGACGGCATGATATACCGACGTTATTACCATACAACTAACGTATCGGTCGGCTTGGACGCGTCCCACGCGCGTTGACATCGCGTTATGGCGACGGTTTTACAATAATGATAATAATGTAGCGCTTATGGTGTGAAGTACACAACAAAATGATAAATACCCCTACGGTGGAAAATTCTATACGTTACACGGTATGCTAATGAGCGCACATGGTATTTATATATACCATGATCTAAGCCCACCGACACCACCACTCCTCCCAAAATTTCGATCAGGACGATGGATCGTCGTACGATGGACGCTATAATATTATTATGGACGAGGCGATTTGCATAAAACTCGGACGAAGAGGATTAAACACGTACGTACGATTTTTTTTCCACGCGGAATGAATAGGATTTCCGTACGGTTTCTTCGCGTTGCACCATCACGGACGCGCGCCCACGGTCCGTTTTTATTTAATTTTTTTAATTCGCGTTTATAATAAATTATTCATCCGTTTGTATTATACGCATACCTACGTTCCCGACGTCGCCATTGGTAAATACCGCCGCCGCCGGTGTATACACTGTATGAGCAGTAGCTGGTATATGCCTAATACATGACGTGTGTACACGCGTAGGTAGGTACGCGACGAATTATTAAAATGATATGTTGTTATATGTGTAATGGCGGGGACATACCTGGAAAAAAGGGTGAAATTATCTCACGCGGACAAAAAAAGGGTAATGAGAGGAGTCAACCCCGTCTGCACGACGGTAGGCTGCTTACAATACACAAACGACGACGCAAGCGCACACGATAGCGATAAATCATAATTTATACCACTCGGCGTACGACGGATAAATATAATAATGATAAAAAAAGAGGAGAGAGAGTGAGAGGGATAATAATATAATACCACGTTGTCGTAACGTTTATTGTTGTCCAATAAAAACCTATTAACTGGCCGGACCGCGAGTGTGTGCCCATAAAAATATTTAATGTTTGCCACGGTTCTGGTGAGACTCTATATAATATGCACGTGTTACGCGCAGAGAGGTAGCTTTTCAAGTAGGTATCGCCTAAATAGTATATCATAATGTTGTATATACGCCTCGTATTAATATTATACATAGTAAGCAAACGAGTGAAAACCGCGTGTAGGTATGACAATGTATAAAATGACATAATATGAACACCACGGCGGTGATGTAGGTAGGTACATATATTTTTCTAGGGGCTTAAAATATAACGCGCGTGTGTGGCTGGAAAAACGGAAAGACGCCGTATATTATAATATATATTATTATTAAGTGCGAGGCTATTGTAAAATCGTTTTATCGACTCTTAAGCTTAACGACAACAATAATATGGATAATAGTACTATTATAGACTCTAAACATGGACGAATAAATAATAAATGTGTTCAGTACTCACCACAAACGACTCTGTCGAACGGGCTCATCCAATCTGAAACGAAAACAAAAAACAAAAATTAAAACGTTTTAAGATAATATTACAACCATATTAGACATGCTACATTATTACATTATACGCGCATTTGTTGGGCGAGCTCGATATACTTATATTTTATTTTTTCTAAAAAATATAGGTAGAACGACAATTTATTGTAACGATTTATAATCTAATAAAAAAAGTAGGTATCTGTCCACATTAAAACTCAAAATCACGAGGAGGACACGAAAAAGCTTTTGTGTATAATTGTTGATTATATTCTGTTGACTCGGCGTGTAAATCAATACATGTATAAACTACGTTTTTATCGCATCAGTATTATTGACAGTTTTTTTTTTTTTAATTGACAAACAGTCTCGTATGTCTGCGGCGCTAACGCAGTATATGGAAATTTAAATATTATTGATACATTTTTAATATGCTAATTGTTGTATGKATTTTATTGATCATCAAGCGAGTTGAAATTGTCTGCATTACGAGTAAAAAATTGACTTATCGGATAACAAGAAATGTAGTACGTCATAATAATTTTGATTTTTAGATCTTTCTACATATTTTTACTCTACGAAAATCTGAAGAACAATCATATAATATACCGAATATCTGTAGTCAATATAGATAACTTATACTTATACTATATTTATAATACTTATAATAAGGATGTTTAGAGAAAAACTGACAAATTATGTTTGTTCAATGCAGATTTTCAATTTAAGCCATACATTAAAAGTAGTTTTTGGTAGCTATGCACTTTTAAAATGTCGTAGACAACAATGTCTTAATGTTAATGTGCCCAAACTGGCACGAAAACCGTTTTTTAATCTTACACGAGTAATGACGGTGTGCATATCATATGTATAGGGAAATAGGAAATAGTTAAATAGTAAGTTAACCATTAGTGTGCAATTGGTAACATAGCTAAAGTCTTAGCGCCCCAGTACAAGTGGAAATAAGATTACGGCCCTACTATTGCGAATAGTGGTGAGGCGAGTGACGGAGGGTGGAACCCCTCTGTAAAAGTATTTGCACACGAGGGTAGCTACTCCCCAACTATACGCCATTGCAAGGTTCAACGGTTTGATATACCTAAATATTATTATGGTATCTGGTCAACACACCCTTTCTGATATATAAACGGTATACGAGTCGTTAAGTGTTCGGGAAATTGGGAAAACCGTTAGTACTTTTTTCCAATTTGACCATCACCGCCGTGAATCAAGGCGCACAAAAGCTCTATTGACGGAAACTCTAAATCGTTTTAATTTGTTTCGTTCGAAAATTCGTATGGACACTCGAACCGGTTTTTGGCGACTCGGTGATGTTCTCTGTGGTATCATAATATTATTATAAACGATGGGCCGTACTCGCCCGCCTACTATAGTGCTCGCTCATATGGTCTATTGTTCAATAATTATGCAAATGGCCGTCAGTCGAATACGCATACTTGTGCGCGATGAACAAAAAATGAAAATTAGATATTTTTTTCAAAATTATATTAGTGGCCACGTGCGGGCCAATTTGGTTTTTTAACGATTGATCATTGCAGATCACATATTATTATAAACGACATTTACCACATAATATTATGCCAGTGACAAGATTATATTGTTATTAGAATTATTAAAGGTCCTTGGTCAGTATCAACGGATGTAAACTATCGCTGGAAATTATGATGATTAGGTTCATTAATTAATATAATTTTAATTTGCCAACGATAGCATTCAAAAGTTATTATGATGGGTTTGTARTACGGTAACTATACCGCCATTAACGAATATCGCTATTTTGTATACAATAGATAAGAAATTAACTTCTAAAGCTAAACTCGTGCTGCAAACACCCACAATGCCACCCTGGGCCCCAGGCACCCATCCATGGATAAATTAATAGTTTATTGAACACTACAGTTTTGATAAAATCTTATTTTTAAATTTGGAGAAATTTTTGTTTATACTTTAAGTTATCTTCCGATTTTTATTTTTTTTTTCATTACTACACAAACGTCGGAGAAGCACAAAATTCACAACATTAATAACATTATAAAATCAATTCTAAACAGGCATATATCATACTTTTTAATCGTATCATTGGCAATTTAAGATACAATGATATTGAAAATGAATTTTCAGTAAAACTTTCAAAATTTTATTAAAGTTTATTAATGGTATTAATTATTTCCTTTCCATAAATTGGTTATATATTATAATACACTACATTTTCATTGTATACTGCATATTTTTTTATTTAAATTTATGCATGTTATTGAATCCAATTGGAATGTTTTATTTGCAATAAAGTAATTGTAAATACGGTTGCTATTTTATATATTTTTACAATTAGGTATCTATATACATATTATTTTTCTCGATGTATTAACATGACTATTAATGTTTTTATAGATTAAAATTTAAAAAAGTTATAGACCTTTTTAAGTAGTTTCTCATCTATATAAAAATGTATTTTTTTACTAAGATATCATAACATTGACAGATTATTATAAGATTAAAGAATATTAATTATATTTGCACCAAATTCCTGAACTTTGACTATTTTTGAGAAGCGTATTATTGTTCTAATAAATTGTAACTATTATAATAATTATGAATTAATCCGTTGGAATAGAACATACTTAATCACCAAAATAAATTTAAGTAAATATAAGAATGTAACAATATTATCACCCTTTATGAGCAATTCGATTCGAAGATAAATTTTTTTTTTTATGTTTTTCATTTCTATATAATAATAAATCTATAAGCGTCTTCTGAAGTTAATTCAGTATTCTTTTTTTTTCCAGGAAAAGTAAAAATAAAAATATCATGAGGATTAGTCCCCTTATTAAATATAGTAATTATTAATTAAATTATATTCATAGTAATCCAAATGTTTTTCATCGAATTTACCAAGAATTACATGTGGCATTTTGTTTATAATTTATATAAGGCGCATTATTTATACCTCAATAACTCGTCAGTGAAATAATTTTAGGAATCGTAGTGTTATATTTTCACAATATTAGATGTCAAGCGGCTATTATTATTATTATTAGGTATTTTAGGAAATAAAAACGTTTTGAAAAATACACAAGAATATAAAATATGACCTTACACTGTTAAATTAAATATTATTTAAACATTCTGGTCAATTAATTTAAATAAGCGATGAAATAATAGTCTAATAAAATAATACTAGAATTTGTGTGGGTAGTAAGTAATAGTCGAGTTTGTCTACAATGAGATGAGGGCGTGCGTATAACGGCTAGTATTAGATTTAGGTAATAATAAATTGGTTGAATTCCAAGCAAATATCCATAATATTATTCAAGTATATTATTTTTATAGTACCATCATCACACACACAACTTATTGGCACTATAATATTATAGTCAAATGAAATGTATTTTCAAACGTTTTTTTTTTTTTTTTTTTTTTGAGAATACCAACTGGTATGAAGATTCACTTTTTCTTCATATTTATAATGTATTTATTGTATTATATTAAAAATGATTACATTTTTTACACAATTTTAAGCTTTTTTCTAAAATTGTATTAATTATTTATTTACTTAGGTAGATACTACAGAGCTTAATACGTTACACATTTTTGGTACAAAATGCAAACTTTAATTACATTATTGTACTTACTGAAAAATAAGTAACGATTAATTTTAACATTTTTATAGTCTTTATAATGAATAATTTGTTTGTTAGTGTATAATTTAGCAAAATATGTATCATTATAATATAATTTATATTTAATTTATATTAGTATAAATTATAATGGTAATTGCTGTACACATAATTAAGTTTGTACGTTTATTGCTTATTTACATATAATTTATAGGGTAATTAAATTTTAATGGTCTTTACTTTATGATAGGGACATTAATATATTTAAATAATATTATTTGGTGGCATAAATATATAAAACTGTTCATTTAATATCATTTTTGTAGTTAAAATAATAAATTAACTATCTAATGTAATCAGACATGAAACGTCACGTTCAAAAAGAAGACATTTGTAAATAAAAAAGGATATGTATAAACATTAAGGCGCATACTAAGTGATATAAGTATTTCCCTATGACCCTATATATATAAATATATATATATATATATATATATAAATACAAATGTATAAATGTAAAACACTGAGAATATTGCTAAAGAAGCATGTGTTTTATTTAACCTAGTTTTATAAATATTATAAATATAAACACGAATTTCAACTACCAAACTTGAAGACTATAAATATAGTAACTAACAAAAAATAAAATTCATATCTTTATAATAGTTGTTCACATATTATTATACTTAGGTTTACTGTTATTTTTTTAATTACATTGTTTTAAAGTCACTTCAAATTGATGTTTGATTTATGCAGTAATAACTACATTAAGCCTGTTACATAAATTAAATCGCAATTTTAGTTTCTATAACAGGCTTACTATTTAAAAATTAAAAAATAAAACAATACTATATAGTTGTTTAGAGTCTTAACGAGCTTCCCAATGATATTTATTGCCGCAAAACAAAATAACTATGCAATATCAATTAATCTGCTAACGTGTGTTATGGATAAAGTAGTTAAATGACAGTTAAGGATCGTAAAAATATACCGCGGAACTCGTAAGCTTTTTTCTAATCTCCCGCAGACTAAAGTACCGTCTATAATCAGGTTTCGTTGACGCTTGTGCGCCTATCATAATCTTATAACTTTAGCCGGGACCTTTAGCTTATCGGAAACGACTGAATGTTCTCGGGAGAGAATTTACATAAAATAATGACTTTAAAGGAGTGTAGGACATACACGACAAACAGCAATTTCACGCTACCAACAGATTTTCTAGCGACAAAATATGTTGTATAGGTATATACATTGTAACTGGTATAGGTAAACGCTTACCTGTAATGGACATCCATGGATACCGAGGTATATCAGGCATGGGTTGTGGTCCGGGGGCTCCGGGCTGTCCGGCGCACGCGGTGTTGAGCGGGTCTGCGGCCACGGCGGACGCGGCGGCCGCCTGATGGTAGAACTGAGCGGCCGCGGCCATGGACGACACGGCGCCGGTGCCGCCCGCGCCGTTCTGGTTGTGATGATGGTGCAAGGCAGCGTAGCTGTTGACCATCGTGTCGGCCGCGGAAACGCCGCCGACGCTCACGCCGCCGACGCCGCCGCCGTACCGGCATGACGACGACGTCTTGTCCGCGGCGTCCTGGACGGCGGCGGCCAAAGCTGCCGATCCGGGCGACGTGAACGCCATGGAACCGGCGCCGGAGCCGAACTGTTGTTGGTGATGGTGGACGTACGCGGGGTACATGCGGCCGGCGGCCGGCGAGACCAGCGACGACGTGGACGGCGGTGAGCCGCCTGCACTGCTCGACGAAGAGTTGTTAGGCGTCAGGCTGTAGTTGACGGCCGACGAGTCCAGCCCGCCGCCGGACGTGATCACGGGGTTCAGGAGTTGGTGGTGGTACTGTTGGTGGTACTTGGGCAGCATACTGTCGATGATGAACTTTGAACTCATGACGGGCGCGGAAGTTGCGACCGGGGACGGGATGATACACTGCGGTGCGATTTTTGGCCGCACGTTCGTATGTAATACTATAATATGTTCTTGTTGCTAGCCTGTTTTTCAGCCGTTGAAATATAATTTTATGTTATATATTACAATAATAATATTATGTCCGAGAATCCGTCAACGCCATCGCATTATGCCGAATGTATCGTCGTCAAACCAAACGCACGGCGTTCGAAAGAAATACTGCTGTCGATATATTTATATTCGAAACCCGAAAATATAGGGCACAGTCGTGTGACGGGCGACGATGACGAGCTACACTACGGACACTGGACGACCGACACGGGAATGCGTGAGGATTATGACCCGCGGGTGTAACGAGAGTAAAAAAAATCCAAACGGGATAATAATATTATTATTAATCGAAAAAAAAAATGTCTTCGAACCGTGTGTAATAGCGGCGGAAAAATAAATAAAACCCGCGCGGCGACGCGATCACTGGCGACGGCGGCGGCCTTTGGCGATATAATATTATATGGCGGCGCGGGTAATTTCCCGAACGTTGAGCACTTGTTTGTGAGATCGTTTATGACCCGGGCGGCGCRCGGAGGGTATTGGCGTGGCCCAGTCGACCGTCGTCGTCTCGTTGCAGTCGTCGTCCGCGTCGCAGTCGTCGCGTTACCTCTTTCTAGACGCGCGCGCACAACACTCTCACACACACACACACACGCGCGCGCACACGACCACACCGCTACGGCACTACCTACACGGGCGCRCGCGCGTGATCCAGCGCGCACACGCGCAGCGTCGGCCGCGGCCGGCTTGTCGAAAGCGTCGGGTGATGCGCGCGGGTCGGCGGCGTCGCCCCCGTCACCGTAGCCCGAGACTAGTCCCCTCTGCGGCAACGGCCAATCGACGATCGTGCTGGTCTCGTGTGTGCCGCGACCGACAGCGCACTCTCGCGGCATATCAACGATCGCTTTTTTTTTTTACTTTTCTCCTCTCCGCCGCTTACACGCGAGTCATAGCACGGCGGATGTTGATGGTATTATCAATAATAACTACTAAAAGTTAATAATTTCTAACAATTAAATAATCTTATTATTATTGCTGTTGTACGTTGATTTAGATTTGTTCTTTTCGCTCTGTTTGCATAATTGTTATTTTTTTTCACATTTAAATCTAGTAACATACATATCACATCCGACCCGGATTCATCGCCCTCATTACATATCGGAGACGAGTGATCACTACTATTTATAAATATCGTCGTCGTCGGTTTCTACGTCGATATAAAATTATTATAAGCACACACCTGTCATATAGCTTATAAAGTGATCGCAGTATTGGGATATATTTAACGAGTCGCCTTGTATGCATAACCGCACCGTGTCCTTTACATTAATAAAATGTAGGCGCGAAAGATAATAATTTATTATACCACAGTACATAATAATTAATAGGTAACCTTAACAGATATAAATTCACGAGACGGGAACATTTTAGCAACTAAAACGGAATTGTACAAATACATAATTAATTAAACATTATACTCGAACCAGCAAAAATGATTATTCTATGGTTATGTATCAACATGTAATGTGCATAATAATAAATTTATGTTATTAGGAGTACTGTTTATTAATGAGTATAAAGTATTGCCATATTAGTTATTAGCACATAATTTCACAATAGTTCTACATATAATTTGTTAGTGCACTATTGATCTATCATATAACACATTTCAAATTTTAAGTAAATTCCATCCATTCTGTGTTTATCAGCTTAAATAACATCAATTCAAATTGGCTATTATCATTATGTTCTTAGGATAATACCCATTGTTAACATGTTWAATTACAACAATGTTTATTAGACAAGCATCTTATAATATGAAACTGGTAGTATTGTTTATTGGATTACACCTACTATTGTAAAGTATTACGCATAGAGTTTAAGCGCATTGTAATAATAATAATGTTGGCAATTATTTTAGTTTTATTTATATTTTTAGTACCTATAGGCTATACAATATACCTACCTTGAACCGTTGGTACATTTAATTATTTATTATAAAATATAAGTACAGATAATAATATTAATTATTAATTCACTATATTTTAATTGAATAATAGGTATATTAAAATGACTAAATCCATTAATGTATTGAATCTTGAATAGGTACTTGTGTTTTTATAATATTTAATATTTTGATATCAAATTGTTATTATAAAGCGTTTAAATCTTTGTTTTAGTATAAAAATATTTCAAGAGCAATAAAAATTAATATTTCCAAATTGCTTTATTTATAAGTTATAAATGCCATAATTTATGATTTAGGTACAGGTACCTACTATTCCGAGCGGAACTAATATTTTTAGTATTATGCAAATTTATAATTTTTTGGTAAAAGTTTTTTTAAGTTTCTATGCATTTCTAATTCACATATATATATATATTGAAAATAAACACACACTATTGTACCTACTTCGAAAATATTAGAATTAGACGAATTAATGTTTTGATAAATCATCACGAGTTAACAGGCTAACGTATTTTAAATAATCTGAGAAATTATATTAGATGTATCTTGCTTTGAAATATTGTTGGTAATTAATGTATTAACTAGATAATAAACAATTAAATATATATGTATAGTCAAAKAGATTAATTTCCGTGAGTACCTACCCATATAATATATGCCTTAAACCGCAGCGTTCATGTCGGTACGAAACGAACAAAGAAATGAATATTTGATTGTAAATCGATTTTTTTATTTTAATAAGGAAACACGACATACCATTGCTGCAGGTATGGGAATATATAGAGAGATCCGGTCGATAAGACGCGTTCTTAAAGAACATGACCTCGACTGCTTGTTATTTTTCGTGATTTTATTTTATTTTATTGGTTTTTACAATGTTGTATTTTTAAAGAAAAATGTCTATACTTAGTTATTTTTCTTGTTTGCGTATGAATATGTATACACTTTTTGGACTAATAAAATCAATCCAAGGCGCATGCTGCAGTAGTCCGATAAACTGATAAGCAATCAGCCACAGAAATTTTGAAATTATTTCTAACAGAAAATTACTGGGGAAAACTGTAAAATTATGGGAACATAGTTTTATAAGAAATACTAATCTGTTATTACCTATAACTGTAATTATAAACAATTTATCCCAATGTTTTATGTATTATACTTACCACCAGTCGTATTTTAAGTTTGTTTATTTTGTTAAAAATATGTGTTGTTTGTCTGGTTTTAATAGCTTATAACATGTATACCTATATTACTCATATAAATTATGTCTCAATGACTCACCTATGTATGCACAAAATGCTTTACCATTTCCTTTTTGAGAAATATACTTATTTTTAATACCGAAACCTTGAGTGTGAAGCCTTCTCTAGGGTTAATCCCCCAAGATATTTTTTAAAAATTAAAACAGTTTATGCGGTCAACGTATAAAAACTATTGCATGAATATATAGCAAGGATTATTTTATGTTCCTATAATTTGTTTGAAACATTTACTCTATTTTTACTCCCAAAAATCAAAGTTTTAAATTTTTCAAATAAAATATGAATATCAAATTATTGTCAAATGCCCTTTCATTCCTTCCTATAACAGTAGTAGTAATATTACGTTCCCCAGATTAGGATTTCATCGCATACTCCACATCAGATATTATCTAGGTATGTTACCAAAAATATATAGGTACCTTCATGTGTTAATAATTGTACTTTTTATTTTAATTGTCTGTTTTGTTTTATATACATAAAATTGTATTCTTGGTAATTAGTATTATATTATATATTGCAGTATAACGTAATTTAAATATTTAAATTGTATAAATATATAAGTATTTATATACTGTACATAGGTATCATAGTGTATCACTCTTATACAAGATTACGTCCTTTTAACAAATATTATTTGATCTTTAAATACTTTCAGGTTATGATCAAGTAGAATAAAAACCGCATGTACAACCGAATCTAAATAACAAAATATATTATGTTATGTATATAGCCCGATATGGGTACTATTTATTTTATGTGTATATATGTACAATTAATAATTAAATTCAGTGTAAAAACGTATTGATTAATACTTTTAGATATTATATGTCGATAAAGATAGGTAGGAATGTGTAAAAATATATAAGAAGTAGAGTCATACATATAATATTATGCTGATTAATGTCTGAATGTACTAGCGATCACGACGAGTATATTGCAAAACGTTTTATTAGAATATCACATACAATATTTAAACACGCAGTTTCATAACTTATCGTAGAGAATATTATTTTTTTAGAAATACTTTATGGTATATACACGAGTTTTATTAATTGAACACTACCAATTCGCCGTGGCTACAAATAACTTGGAATATCGTATACGGAGTAAGTAAATTGTGTATTATCATCTACTCACATTTTGTATATATGTAGAATTATTATAATATATTTTTATTTTTTTCGTCTAAATTATCCCACATATAAATGTTCTAACTTTAAAAAAAGCATCGGTAGAACTTACTTAAAAATACAAGTGAATGGAAATATAGAAAAACCATGGTGGAGTCGGCTGCAGTTAGTAGTTTACACTTTACGGTATACACCAACCCGGCAAACTGTGATGGTAGGCAACCAAACGTACACGACTCGATAAGTTTTTAATAATTGTAAGATAATAATAGTTGAATGATAACTATAAATAATTACAGAACACATGTTTGTATACGGGGCTGGTCTGGGATACAAGTTATTTAAAAAAAAAAATTATTATTGTTTGAACTCAATGGTAGCTTTCACGTGTATGATGTTTTTAAATATATAAAMATGGTTTTGAAAACCATTTAGGTACTCCTCAAGTCCAGTGTTATTATTTATTTTATACAAAATGTAATCATATAATAATTTACAAATGTTGTATGATTTTATTTTAATAACTAAAATATTTGATATGTCGTTTTCACATTCTCGAAATACCAAAAATATGATATTGCGAAAATCTTTACATGCGCTACAAACGTAACGATTTTTAAAACAATAAAATAAAAAAAATAAATAAATAGAATAAAATTATT